AGTAGAATTGTATAACATGTTTAATTCAAGTAATCATAAGCTAGGTTTTGGATTCAAAAATTCAAAGTGAAGCGTTTTGGATTCAAGTAAACATGTTTAATTTGTATACTGTTTTTTACTTAGGTTGGATGATTAGAATTGAAATCAATTTTTAAAATAAATTTATTTCCCCCCATGGGTGATAATTATATATATGCAACATGAATGAACTTAGTAAGGGCTGGACCATCAAATCCCCGATATAATTATTTATATATATATTATATATATTATAATCATATATATTATATGAATTTAACATAACCTTTCTTTCTTTTTTCCTCTTTTATTTGACAAATTACTCTGATTGGGTAAGTTGTCGGATTTCTTTTTACTACATTTAGGACAATATGACAGTTTACTCTAATAAATAATGAGCCTAAATGCATTAAATTTGGACTTTAATAATTTTTGGCAATTATTTTTTGTGGCCTCTGAATTTTGCAAGGAACTTTCAATGACCCCGCATTTACAGGTTTCAATAATAATATCTCCTGACCAATGAATGTAAAAATATCGAGTCATTGATATGGAATTTTAGTAAAGATATTTATTTCGGTAAGAGACATAGTTATTAGTCGATAATGTGGAAAGTTGTAGGGTTATCAATTGGACTCACAAGTTCAAGAGACCACAAAGACAATTGACAAAAATTTAGAGTCAAATTTTATGTGGCATTAGACGCCATGACAATATATTTCTGTGATTTTTTGAAATTTTAATTTTAAAAGAAAGTTCAAATTTCTTGTATTTGAAAAATAAATTTCCTAATTTTATCTAATATATGACTATATGGTAGAAGTAATTCATTTAAACTACTATAAACTTTACGTCTTGTACCCAGATTTTAAAATACCTAAGATCAATTTAATCCTTAAACACTGTAAACTTATATTATAATGCACCCAACTTAAAATCTAAAATAGAAAAATGAATATAACAATAAACATAATGGGACCCCCTTCACGAGAGTTGATAAAATTTCAAATTGTCATCGTTACTTGCCCACACTCTCGCTCACTCACTATATTTAATTGTGAATTTCTTTTTATTAAATATTTTTTTTATTTGTGTAAAGTGAAAGTGATTAAGAAATGGGGAATTACATTAAAATATTACTATTCGATGGCATGTGTTCCAATTATCAAAGATCGTATATATATTTATGAGTTTTAGATAAGAAATAGTCTTTTGGCTTTGAAATTGCGAAACAACCATTTTTTTCAATGCTTTTAGTTCTCAATCTTAAACGTGACTTTTTGAAACAAATAAATAAATCCTTTAAAAAGTGAAATTGAACCAGAATACGATAAGATAATTACATGGACTCTAACAAGCATGTTTGCTGCAAAAATATAATAAAAAAAAAGTTTATACAGTTTAATGTTTTTTAAAATTTTTTTTTTTTTTCTAATGACGAATGACTGAGGTTTCTAAAATAAATAAATATAGTGATATTTCTTTTTTTTTTTTTTCATCAATTACTATTTACAGTGAATATTAAATCTATTACAATAATTCAAAACTGACAATACACTAAAGAGGGCGAAATACACTTATATTAAAATGTTACATGTATGACAATACAAGGCCATCATTATTATATATATCCTACTCAATTTTAAGACTCATTACAGAGATTTTAGGTTTTAATATTAGTATGTGCGTGCATATTAGGAATAAATTATTCTATGTGTTTCGACGAAAAAAATCGTTATAATCTGAATTTCTGAACTAGTAAAAAAATAGAAATTAATGCATTTGACTGAAATTATTTTGCTGAAATATTAAAATATTAAACATTTTATTCTTTTCATATTCTTTTTTTTTTTTAATTTTTCAATTATTTTATTTTTCTCTCTGAAATAAGTCTTAAAAATTTTTATATAAGAAAAAGAGAGTGAGAAGGAAATAAAGAAGGTAATAATACTTAAAATTCTAAAAAAATAAATAAAGTAAAATAATTGAATAAAATTTACACTTGTTATACTTAGTTTGATGTATGTAGATTTTAATACACCGAGTGTAGATAAATTATTTCTTTATTTTTTTCAGGTATTAATAAATTTGTGTTTGAAGTTTATTTCAAATGAACAAAAAAATGCACTGAAATTCAACCACTGACGATAGTACTTTGTTCCATTTCTTTTTAGTTATTATCATTTTCTTGTCAATTACTGTCATTTCTCTTTCATATTTTAATGGCTTTTTAATACAGTTCAATTTCCATTCACGCTTTCTATTTTTTTAATCTTCTTAATTTTTTTTTTTGGGCTGTTTTTATTCTAAACAGTCAATGAAATGTTTTATCATGTAGGGTTGCATTGGGATGGAAGAAAAGTGCATTATACAATTTCTAATCCTACACTAGTCTCATTCTAAATAGGTTTAAATTATTTTTTAAATAATGTTTCATTTTAAATAATTTTTC